AGCCGTCGCCTCCTATCTCCTTTCCTCTCACTCTCTCTCCTCCTCCTCACTTGCCCGTTGTGACTACCATTAGCTTTGCTCATAATTGTGAACTTAAACTATTGCTTCTTTAACTTGTGCTCAGAATGTGTGGTGACATTGTGATCCACCCTGAGCTTGTACTCCCTTGCTTACTCTGCTGATTACACCCCACTTTGGCTATGGGGGTGTGTCAGAATGTTATCTTATGCTCTAGCCTGTAGTGGGGTGCTCTATAGCGAGTACAACCCTTCTAGGGTTTGCTATTTGTATCCTCATTCTTGCTAGTGCAACCCTCTTCCTCTTCTCTTCTTTCTTCTAAACTTTAACAAAGTCTACACTAATAGGGGGAAAGCATCCTAGACTACAAACACGCGAGCATACAGATCCATCAGCACTATAGTCAACATCAGCATACAAAGCATACTGACGAACATCGTCCACAGACAGTTCCAATATAGGAATCTTACGGGCTAGTAGGCGAGCCAGCGCGGGGTGGTCGCCTCAGGACCCCAGCGTGCACGGTAGAGGTCGTCGAGGCGGCAGAAGCACCGCGCCGCAGAGTGGTCGTCGCGGCCGCAGACACAGGGACTGCCTGGTCCGGTGACGCACCAATGGTCACAGGGCCCGGTGTCACGCCAGGGGGGGCGTGGGGCCCAGCTGGTAGTGCTACTGTTGCGGCCAGTGCTCCCAGGTCCTCCAGGTCCCCACTGTGGCGGAGGGCCCCAGTGCTGCTGCGGACCCCACTGCAGTGGGGGTCCCCATGACTAAAACTACTGTGGTGCCTGCCACTGCTGCTGTCCCTGCTGCTGCTGTTGTCTTTGCTGTGGCTGCTGCTGCTATGGCTGCTGCTGCTGGGGCCCCGCACCACCGCTGGTCGAACCTCCTCCAGCAGGTGGGCCAGCACCTCCTCCAGGACTCCCTCCGCCTGGTGCACCACCGCCGCCACCCTCACTGCCGCCCCCAGTGCCGCCTCCACCACCGCCACCTCCTCCACCGCCGCCACCCCCCTTCCCCCCTTTCTTGCCACCCTTGCCCCGTTTCTGGCAGTCAGCGGCAGAAATAGCTGCAGTGTCCTCAGAGATCGACACAGCAGCAGAGGCACGAGAAGCAGTGAAGGTGGGAAGCTGGGGGACAGCACACCCCTCAAACAGACGGGGAGCGACTGTGTCAGTGGCCGAGGCAACAGAGAGGAGGTTACTCCCGATCTTCCCGAGAGTGGTCTCGAGAAGATTAATCGTAAGCTCACTAGGGTGCTGCTGGAGAAGCGCGTCATGGGCAGTGGAGAGGCGGTCAGGGAGACGAGTGACTACCCAGTGGACGGTGAGCCAGATAGGAGGGGGAGCAGCAAGAAGCTGAGCCTCAGTGCAGGCTGCACGGTAGCTAGCGACAAGGGAACGCAAGTGAGTGGCTAGGTCGGAGACAGTCGCAAACGAGCCGAGGTCGGGAAACACGAACGGCATGAGGATGCGGCTGAGGGAGGCAGAGGAAGGGGTGGAATAGCGTGCAGAGATAGCATCATAAACCCCCTTCACAGTCTCTACTAGGTCGAAGTGAGCGGCCTCAGTCGGTGGAAGGAGCTTTGTCAGCGCAAGAACAGCCGCAGCGTCACGGGAGTCCCAAGCGTCCCGCGCCAAGACAAGACGATTGTAGTCCACCTGCGCCTCCAAAGTCGGGGCGGGCTTGGTAGGCAGGGGTTCAGGACGCCGGGGTGCCTAGAGGGCGCCAGATGCGTGGGGGTACAGGGTGGCGCCATCCTGGCGCTGACTGGTGAGATAGCGCTGAGTCTGGCGGAGCAGGTGCCAAACTCTATCGGGCGGCCCTCCGCGTCAAAACGAAGGTGGCGGGAGGACTTGATAGTGGAGGCTAGGCTAGGAGCGGCCGGAACCTAGAGCAAGCTGAGCTAGGAGGGAGGAGCGCCAGGTGAAACTAGGCGAGGCACTGCCGGAGCACGGAGGAACACTGAGCTAGGAATGCCAGTCTAGTAACGAACGGAACTGGGAGCTAGCTGAGCTAGGAGCAGTCGGCTGGAGGAGGCAGTGCTGACGAGCCGATCGAGGAGCCGGAGAGTCGTTCGAGGGGCTGGCGGGGCGAGGAGAGACCTAGCTAACAACGAACGTCAGTACTAGCCTAAACTGCTAGGTGGAGCGGCCTCCAGCCGCGACGGTGCGAAACACTGTGGGTAGGAGCGACGCGAGTGTCGAACCAACGAAACCGGAGGGGGAATCCGAGGAAACCCTAAACGAAGGTGTGGCTCAGGGCGCCTCAGGCTACGGGCGTTCGGGGTAGGACGAGGTGTGCACGGCATGGGTGCATAAGGGCGCGCGGGGCGGGCGAACCAGGGGCGCGCGGGCTACAGGCAGGGGGCACGGGCTACGCGCGGGCTAGGGGCAGGGCGTACGGGCCGCGCTTGGGCGACGGGCAGGGCGCACGGGCTACCCGCGGGCTAGGGGCAGGGCGTACGGGCCGCGCGTGGGCGACGGGCAGGGCGCATGAGCTACACGCGGGCTAGGGCAGGGCGTACGGGCGATGCGACGGGCTGGGGCAGGGCGTACGGGCTACGCGTGACCTAGGGGCAGGGCGCATGGGCGACACGACTGGCTGGGGCAGGGCGTGCGCTGCTGGGCTGGCAAGGGCGCGTGACGGGCTGGGGTAGGGCGCTCGCTAGGCTAGGGCTCGGGCTAGGCTAGGAGGGTGCTGAGGCGCGGAGGGTGCAGTGGCACGGGTTAGGCGCGGAGGCACGAAGGGCGTGGAGGTACGAAGGGCGCGGAGGCGCAGAGGCGCGGGCTAGGCGCGGAGGGCGCGGAGGGTGCACTAGGGGAGGGCGCGGAGGCGCGAGCTAGGCACGGAGGGTGCACTAGGGGAGGGCGCGGAGGCGCGGGTGCGCACTAGATTTCTCTTGAAAGTCGTGGGAACAATAAAACAGATCGCGGTTCCCGCGATCAAAGGCATGCCACGTGGCGATAATAAAGCGAAGCGCAATTCCGTGGGATTGAGCAACACTCTCCCATAATTTCGTTAGGGCTAGGTGCGGCTCAGGCTCGACATTGCGCGATACACCCGGCCCTACTTTGGCCACTTTTCTGCTGTTGTTTGGCCCGCATTTGATCTCTGCCTTTCTAGAAAAGGCGGGAATCAGCGGAGGAAGGAATGCCATGAACATCGCTCTAGAGAGAGTCTTGACGCTATTATTTGCTTCGTTGAGACACAAACCACTAATTTCGTGAACATTACAATGTCTACACAGCTAATTGTATTGCATGACCATATTCACCCGGATAACCTCGTTCAACTACACTTGTAACACCCTCAAGTTTGATGTGCCATGAAATGGGTGGTGTGACGAGACGAACTTGCTTGGAAGTGAGTCATCCACCAGGATGACGTGCTGTGCTTGGCTCTCTGCCAAGTCGAACGTGCAAGATGCGTCAAGCCTGGCGGCAACATCGAATCCCGCCAAGGCAGAGTCTGGTTGTCAGGCTTGTCCCGCGTTGGCGACGGAAACACAGTAACGATCTGGCAGTGGCGACATCGACGACACTTGGCTCTTGAGCGACATGATGCTCCGCCAACATGTTTGACAGGATTGCGACGGAATCTGTCCATCAAAAGCATCTCCAAACCAGCACACTAGCCTCCAACCAGAGCTGTGCCTATATCGAAAGTCACGAATGATTCGCTGATGGCGCCACTCTTGGGATTTCAGGCGTGTTAGCTAACCCCCTCTGCCAACTCGCAAGCAAACTTCATAACCGCTCCGTACCCTCGTATATTCTCGGGAATGGGTGTCTGCTCATCCCTTCTCTCCATCACCCTCTACTGTTTCTGGAGTGGGATGGAGAACGTGCTTCACCACCATGCTGCAGACCCCTGAAGAGACATGCTGTCATTAGGAGCTGGATTGTAACTCAAACACCGTCCCAGAACCAGAGCTCTTAGCGTTTCCTAAAAGTTTTATTCGTTCATTTGTGTTGTCTGCTTCCAAACGTGGTCCTGCTGCTGGCGTGACTCGTTCGTTCGAAATGGCTGAGCTGTTATTGCCAGGTCAATCCGAGACCGTTAGCGAATTTAAGACCGATAGGAAAAAGAGCACGGAGCGCGTTAGGGTTACGGTCTGGTGGCCAGTCCAGGTGCCGCTGGAAGGCGAGCGTCAGCGGTTACTAGGATGGATCGAATCAGCCGACGTTGGCGAAACTCGCGAAGTCAATGTCATCGTCGCCGCTGCGACTCCCCCATGCTCGGGTCGCATCGACGAAGCTAAAAAATATATCGACCCGTGCAACGGTCACAAGGAGTCAATCCCCATTTCCCAAGATAGCTGCAAGGGTTCTGTAACTATTCCAAATGACAGCTCCAGCACTCCTTCAAACGCGGCTTTGCGTACAAACGGCTATGAAAACTGTCAGAAACACGATTTCTCTCCCGCTGATTGCTATCAGGCTAATTCTTTCGAGGAGCCTGACCGAGCCTGTGTCGTCGCCGAATGTTCCGTGCTTCCAGAACATTCCAATCTCTCCTTCTCGTCTTTCTTCAGCCGGTTTTCCTCCGGAGCAAGCTCGCCTAAAGCGTCAAGCTGCTCGTCGCCTCGATCATCCTGGAGTTTCTCTGCCGATTCCGATCGTTCGGAGGACTTCGAGTCGTTGAGTGGCGACAAAAACGAGAGTCAAGATAGCCAGGGTAACAGATCGGGTTTTTCGTCTAAGGTGCCGTTTACCTTGTTGTGGCGACGAAGATGGCAGCAGCAGCGACAATCGCCAGCGTCGCCGACAGGCTCGTCTGGTCCCGGGGAATCTCAAGAATCGGGATCAGCTCCGGCTGTACGCGGTAAAGGAGCTGCGATACTAGACTGGTGGCGAAACGTGGAGCTGATAGGAATGCGTATGAACGTTGACGGATCCAGCAACGCCTCGGACGACGAAACTTCGAAGCAACCCGGCGGTACAAGGTATGTCTGTCGCTATTTTAGTTGTGGAACCTTAACCATGCGAGCTTTCCAACAACCGCCTCTCTTCATCCTCTTTTCTTTCTTGCCGGGGTATACAGCGCTCTCATCTTCCTTGTACACCTCTCCGCTACAAGCCCTGCATTTTCCCTACCATCAGGATGTCTCTCGCTGCATGCTTTCTCCTCCTCCTGTGTGCAGCGGCAGCGGGATTCCAGGCGTTGCTTCCAAAAAAGCTACCGGCGCAGCAGGAGAGTCGGTCAGTGAAGCCAGTGAAGCCGGTCTGTCGGATCGGGGATCGAAACCGGTACCAGAAGCGGCCGCAGGGGAGCCGGCGGGGGAGCCGGCCGACATGGCATCTGCCAGCCATCCGGTTTCCGCTCAGGTGCGCGCAATGTCCATTCGGTGCACAGCTCAGATGCGCGCAGGTTCCGCTCAAGTGCGCGCAATGTCCCGCTTAGGTGCGCTGTAGCTCAGATGCGGGCAACGTTTGCTCAGTTGCGCGTTCTGTTGCGCGCGTGTCCGCTCAGGGGCGCGCAGTGTATTCGCGTAGACCAGCCGCCGGCCATTGTCATTTTTGGGCCATGTCAGACGACTTCCAAACCACCCCTCCTCACAACGAGCCACCAGTGCCTTTCTCCCCTCGTCTATCGTCCCTGTCCTTAACGAACCATCCATACCTTTCTTCCCTCCCCTCTATTTCCACACCCCTCTGCACGTCGTGTTTTACGACCAGCCGACCTTCCCCGGCCATTCCTACGTGGAAAATTGTCGCAATACACTTTTCAAGCACCCCTTTTCGTGGTTAAGCACTGATCCACGTGTTTCTTTCTCCTTTCCTCCATCCCACACCTCCCTGCAGGTCGTTTTTTACGATCAGCCGACCTTCCCCGGCCATTTCTACGTGGCGGATTGCCGCAGGTGGATGAGCGTGGTGCGCGGAGGAGTAGAGGATGGTTCAGATGGGTCGGAAGGCTTAGACGAGGAAGGCGTAGGAGTTCCGGGTGGCAAGGGATCGGAGAAGTCGGCAGCGAACGGAGCGAATGATGCGGTTACCACTTCGACGAGCGAGACGGGGCGGGTGGGCGTGTGGCTGCGGTCGTTCTGGGCCACCTCGGGGCACATCGAACCCCCCAGGACGCAGAGAGCCAAGTCACGCGGATATGTGAGTGCAGAGCGGTGGAGCGTCAGTCTGTAGGATTGCAGAGCGGTGGTGAGGCATGAGAGGTGGTGGGGGAGCGGGGCAGGGCGGGTGGGCGTGTGGCTGCGATTGTTCTGGGCCACCTCGGGGCACATCGACCCCCCCAGGACGCAGAGAGCCAAGTCGCGCGGATATGTGAGTGCAGAGCGGTGGAGCGTCAGTCTGTAGGATTGCAGAGCGGTGGTGAGGCATGAGAGGTGGTGGGGGAGCGGGGCAGGGCGGGTGGGCGTGTGGCTGCGATTGTTCTGGGCCACCTCGGGGCACATCGACCCCCCCAGGACGCAGAGAGCCAAGTCGCGCGGATACGTGAGTGCTGGGGCTGCCATCAGGTGGTTGCAGGGGTTCAGATCGGTGAGACGTCAGTTTGTAGGTTGGCTGTGTGGTGAGGCATGAGGGTCGCATGGTCGTCCCCGGGGCACAGAGAGCCAAGTTGCGCGGATACGTGAGTTGGGGGCCTTCGAGCTGCTAGCATGGGGTTGTTGTTGCAGAGTGATGAAGCCTGTGGGGCCAACCCTTGTCTGAGTTAACTCACAAGCCTGTATTCTCTTGTTCCATTCCCCTGCCTCCTCCTCCCCCTCCCACAGAGCGTTCCCTTCCACAAGCTCAACATGGCTCATGCCCTCGCCACTGCCTCTACATCCCTTGCAACTGCTTCAAACACCCTCGGATCTGCCACCACCTCTATAGGAACGTCGATTACCACTGCCACCAACAATATCAGCACTACAACCTCGCGCACTCTAGATAGCTGTAGGCGCGGCGCCACAGCTACAGCCTCTGCTGCTGCTGCTACAGCTGCTACAGCCGCGAATGCTGCTGCTGCTACAGCCGCTACAGCCGCCAATGCTGCTGCTGCCGCTACGGCTGCAACGGCTGCCACTGCAGCCACTGCTGCCAGTGCAGCAGCAGCTGCTACAGCTGCCACGGCTGCCACTGCAGCAACGGCGGCTACAGCCGCTGCTGCCGCTACAGCCGCAACGGCTGCTGCTACAGCTGCGACGGCGGCGACTGCTGCGTCAGCAGCAGCTGCTGCAACAGCAGCGACGGCTGCTACAGCTGCAAGTGCAGCGGCTGCTGCTGGGGGGTCGATTCCGGGCGCTATCAGGGGTTCGCCTGCTGTCATCTCTACTGCGCTTGCGGTGAGTGGGTGTGGGAAGCGGGAGAACGTGAGTTCTGAGTGGGTTGTAAGAGATGCTGAGGAGTGATTTCTGATGGTGCTCCTGGGGGGTCGTCTGCTGTGATATCCACTGCTCTTGCAGTGAGTGAAGTGCGGTTCTGTGATTTCCTCTCCCTTCTTCTCTCTCCCTCTCCCTTCCTCTCACGCTCCCCCACTTCCCCCTCCAGCGCATGTTCTTCCTTGGGAAGGCAACACCCAAGCCCAGCAAGGCCGCTGACTCCAGTGCAAGCACAGCCCCTTCAGAAGCAGAGGGGCTCCCCAGCCTTATTCACGTCAACTCAGCTTCTGACATAAATTCAGCTATTGGCGTCAAGTCAGCAGGCGAATTTGCAAGGGAGAGCATGCAAGGCATCCCTGGGAAAACACCTGCCCAACCAGGGGTTTCACAGGGGGAGCTGAGTCAGGGAGGGTTGGGCCAGGTGAAGGCAGAACCGGGGCAGGTTGCAACTGGTCCAGATTCACTGCACCAGCAGCTTCTGGGGCCGCCTGTGCGGGAGAGTGTGAAGCAGGCTAAGGGAGTGGAGGGTTTGGTAGGGGCAGAGGGGAGTGTAGCGACTGTTAAAGAGAGGGATGCATTATGGGGGACGGTTTTGGGGGTCAAGGGTGGGGAATATAAGGAGGTGATTTTAGAGGGGGGGATTGTAGAGGAGGGAGAGGATTCTGCTGCGTTGGATTCTGTGGGGCACGTTGGCCGGCTGAGTTTGGCTGTAGCGACTCAGATTGCGGCTGCGCCCGTGGCGCTGCTGCTGATGTTGCAAGAAGCGGGGGTGGTTACCATCTCGCTGGTAACTTCCTCTGGCAGGGCGGCAACGGCTGCTCTGAAAAGCAATTCTGCCACGTGGCAGTGCATGATTCGCAGGCAGCGGCTAATCGCCTCACTTCGTGCAGCCCTCCAATCAGCGTCCTGTTTTTCAAACGAGGGCGTGTTCGTTGAAGGGGGTGTGATGGTGTCAGATGGCCACGTGGCAGCAGCAGCAGAGGACAAAACAGCAGCTGCTGCTGCTGCTGCTGCGGAAGTATCAGGTCCTGCTGCTGCCACTCGTAGCAACCCCCCTGACCCGTCCACTCAGCCTGTTAAGGGCGCATCCTTGAAAGCATCCCTGTCCTCAGCCTCAGGCCCTCCTGAAACGTCTCTCAACCAGGACCCCTGCTTTCCGACAGACCCTGCAAACCTGAATCACTTTCCTCATGAAATCCCCAACTCTGCTCGGAACTCTTTAAAAAAACCCAAACTTCCCCTCTATTCTTCCATGGACCTCCACATCGCGCAGCACCGCATTGCATCCCCTCTGACCTCTCTCCTGCTGGACCATACCCTTGGGCTCCTCTTCTCCCTCCTCCTTCTCTTCTTCTTCCAATCGGTGGCATCGGCTGTCTCCTCCCTCTTCTTTTTCCTGACCAATCACGTGCTCCGGACCAGCATAGTGCTACTAATCTCCCAGCCTATTGGACTCAAACTCAATGATGAGCTCACAGCTGCGTTCGGCGCCCTATCCTGGCAGGCACTGCAGGCTTGGGCTAGGTTCGGCAGCGTGTACGGCTCGGTGCTGCCGTACCTGGCGGTTCTGACGGTTGGTTCGGCGGGGCTGTTCCTGGGAATGTCAGCTGCGGTGGGGGTGATTGCGGATTTGGTGCTGCTGTCGAACCTCCAGCTGGCGCTCGTTCATTGGTGCTTGGCGCCGATGTATCGCATGCAGCTGAATGCTGTCATTGCCCTCTGGCGCCTCTTCAAGTGAGTCTATCTCCTCTTCACCATCCTCACCCTCCTCCTCCCCACCCTCATCGATCTCCTTCCCCTCCTCTGCCGAACACCCCACTCGTTCCCTTGCCTCTCCTCTCCTCCCTCACACTCACCCCTTCCCGCTCTCCCTCCCTTTCCCCCTTCTTTCCCCCCTCTTCCCCCCCACCCCCCTCCTGCGCCCCCGGCAGTGGCCTCAAGTGGAATCCCCTACACAAGCGCATAGACTCGGTAGAATGCACACTGGGCCAGCTCACCCTCGGCTCGCTCCTCTTCACCATCCTCACCCTCCTCCTCCCCACCACCGCCATCTTCCACATCCTTTTCGCCTCCCTCTGCCTTGCGATCTCGGCCGTCCGTTCCGCCCTGCAGGCCGCTGCCTCGCTGCTCCTCTCCTTCCCCGTTTACCTCCTCCTGGTGAGGCTCTATCGGCCTGATCAGGTTCCCGGTGGGGTTTGGCTGGAATTTGTCGGAGGAGGAGGGGGAAGGAGAGGAGGAGCAGGAAGGATAGTGGGTGGAGGGGTAATGGAAGAAAGAGGAGCGGTGGGGGGAAGGACAGGAGCAGGAGGGGAGGATAAAGGAGGGAGACGAAACCATGAAGCAGACGGGGGGCCGGCTCGAGAACACTCGAGAATCGGTCGTGGGTGTGAGTTAAGAGATAGTGAGAGACAGGAAGGGAGGGAGGAAGCTGAGTTGGCATGGGGAGGTGGTGAGAGAGAGAGGGGTGGGTCATCATGTGGTAGTGAAGACTGGTGTAGCGGTGGGTGTGGGTCTGCTAAAAACGGTTGTGGCGGCACCAGCAACAGCACGAGCAGCAGCAACAGCAGCAGCAGCACCCGTGACGGGAGTGGAGGAGCAGCAACCCTCGGAGGTGACACAGTTGCTGCCTCTTGGGAGAACAGACGGAGAAGCAACAGCAGCAGGACCTGTGCCAGCTGCGCAAGGCTAAGGAATGGTGGAAGCAGCACTAATAGCAGTGGCAACTCAAACAACAGCAGTAGCAACGGCAGCAGCTCCAATGGCAGCAGTAACAGTGGGAGCACAAACAGCATCAGCGACGGCGGTGGCAACGGCGGCGGCGCCAGCGCCAATGGTGGCAGTGGCAGCGCGTTCAGAGTGTACAGTGTGGAAAGGAGTCCACACCTTTTCCTCCATTCCTTCCCTGCATCGTTCCGGGACGTGCTGAGCCGAGTGCATGTGTTCCCTCGCAAGGTGAAATCGAAGGCGTAGAACACAAATGATGGTGTCATTTAGCAGCGTAACGTATTGTAGACATTTTATTAGTTGCCAACAATTTGCAATGACACTGGAGAGTTTGCTTGCATGTAGGATAAGGAAGTGTGATGCATTTGTTCTAGTCATCATTTGTCTCTCGTTAGAGTGGACGTGGTTTTGGTTTCTTCAACATTCCTAGTTTTACTGTTCCGTATCAACAGAAATACTTTCTAGATTCAACAGTGCTATCGTAGTTGCAGCACCCATTTACAGTTTTAAATGACTTCTCTAGAACAACACATCACCTGTACGGAATTTTCTCGACATTCCTTACCGTGACCATCAACATTGCATACAGCAGCAGCCATTGTTCGCCCGCTACTGCTAACGGGGCTTCGCCAACTTCGCGCGCACTGTTACACCAAACCATGCACCACTGCCCTGGCCGAGTCGGCCTACGCTTCGGGGCTAGCCCGAACCTCGATGTCAGCCTAGCACAGACTAGAAGCTAGTACCGTATTACCCCGGATAGAAGCGCAGGTGCGCTTATAATAAAGCAGTGTGTTTTAGGGGGGTGCGCTTCTAATCGAGTCATTTTTATAAGCGCATGCGCTTGTAATAGGAAAAAAAAATCACTTTTAAACATACCAAATTGAAGCCCGCAATAAGGCGAATTCAACCGACCATGCAGCACGTGGGATCGTGCATGGTTTTCAGATAAAAACGGCAGCGGTTCGGTTCCCCACCGCATTGTTTTGTCTAGAACCATCGATCGTGACAGCAATGACGGGGATGTTGCCATGCGGCCCAATCACAGTCGCATGCATTACGTGGCATGTGCATTTCTTCCGAACCCTCTCGAAGGGTGGCGAATATTCCCTGCCAGCGCAGCGTTTATGCTGCCACGCAGGGTCCTCTACGGGGGTAGGCGGGGGTTTCCCGCCTGTCATTGACGAGGACCCCGAGGCGCCAACCTTACGGGGTCCCCTTCGTTGCCCATTTGTTCACCCTCGTTCTCAATTCTTTCATTCAGATTCCAGTCTAGGTCGCCTGGCCGGCGAAGCCATGGCGGAATTCAGCGGGAAGAACTTCCTCTTCAAGAAAAAACCAGCTCGGCCATGGCGACTTACCGACGACGGGTGGCATACCCGTGAGCCAGCAGCGCCTCCAGTGCCACCTGAACCCCCTGCGCCCCCTGCGCCTCCTGCTCCTCCTGCACCTCCTGCTCCTCCTGCTCCTCCCGCACCTCCTGCTCCTCCAAGTCCGCCTGATATCGGTGCCAGTGCTCACCAACGGCCCGTGCTCCAGCTGTATTTACCAGCCACTTTCGACGAGTGGCTGTCTGAACCGGACACACCCAAGGCCCCCGATGTGTTCATCCAGGCTCCGCCGCCTGCACCACGGTGGGGACAGCCCGAATCCTGCACGTGGGACGAGTCGGCTGTGGGCGCCGACGATGACGTGGCCGCCGATAAACAAAAGATCGGCGACGGCGACGGTGTCGGCGACGGTGAAGCGGGCGCCGAGGAGGACGTGTTCCAAGATCGTGGTGCAAGTGCCGAGGACGACGACGGTGTGGAGTCATGGTGGCACGACGCACCACGCGAGAAGATGCCGATACCGACGTATCCGTCGATTAACAGAAAACGACCCCACCCCTCCTCCCAGAACCGAGATGCTCGCCCCCCCTCTCCCAGGCACAAGCTGTCTCAACATAAACGGCAGTCCTACACCTCCCAGGAGAAACTCAGGTGGCTCGTGCGGCTGGAGCTGGCGGCATCGATAAGCGAGGTCACGCGGGAGTCCGGCATACACCGCAAATGCCTGACGGAGTGGAAAACCCAAGCAGAGGAGCTCAAGGCTTCACATGCCGCACGGTGTCGACTTCATGGGCGCGGGAGGTCTTCTTGGTACAGACCCATGGAGTTAAAGGTGTACGCTCAACTCCTCGACTGGCGACGCCGAGGTGTTGCAGTTTCAGTCGGCCGGCTCCAAGATTGGTCACGCGAAGTGATGAAGGTGCTGTTCCCGGAAGTCAAGTGGAAAGGGAGTCAGCGGTGGTCGGAGCGGTTCCGCAAGCGGTGGAACCTCAGCGTGCGCATGAAAACTAAGGTGGCGCAGAAAACGCAGGAGCATAAGTGCCTTGTTTCCCGCTTACCTCGAGCAAATTCGCATGGTTTATGAGTTGTACTCATCCTTCTTCCTATCTGTCCTTCCCTCCCCGTGCGCAGACGTGGCGACGCAGTGCAAAGAATTTTGGCAGTTCGTCCGCGACGCACGCAACGAGTATGCGATCGACAATCGATACATAATCAACGCCGACCAAACGCCTCTTTGGTTGGAGATGCCGGCCACTACCACCGTGGAGCAGACGGGCGTGAAGTCGGTGCCCATCCGCAGCGCTGGTTACCAGAAAGAAAGAGTCACCGTGATGCTGGCGTGCACGGCGACGGGCGAGAAGTTGAAGCCGTGGGTGTTTTTCAAGCGCAAGACACTCCCTAAGGGTGACTTCCCGAACGGTAAGCACATGTTCTTGTGCGTGTTTTGGACGTTAAAAAAAAAAGGGACTAACCACCACTTGCTTGTGTGCAGATGTCGTGGTCGGCTGCCAAGCGAACGGGTGGATGGAGGCCACGGGCGTCATCCAGTGGCTCGATGAGAGCGTGGTGCCGTTCCTGAAACCCAAATTCGGCGCGCAGAGTCGGAGCGCCATGCTAGTACTCGACTCCTACCGTGGTCACCTTACCAAGAAAGTCAAGGCGAGATTCGCGGCGCTCAACATCGTGCCGGCGGTCATCCCGGCAGGATGCACGGCAGACGTGCAGCCGCTCGATGTGTCGGTGAACAAGAGCTTCAAAGCAAGTGTTCGCCAGTAGTACCAGTCCTGGTTTGAGGCGGACGGCATGAACATCCTAACACCTGCAGGTGAGCGAGGACATGTCCTCCCGTCTCCCCTTCGTGTGCTTGTCTGCCTGCTTGTGTTCTAATGTCCCCACTCCCTTTCATGTGGTGTAGGGAACATCAAGAAACCACTCCCAGAGGTGGTGCTCAAGTGGATTTCACGGGCGTGGAAGGCCGTGCCCGCCGACCTGATTAAGAAATCCTTCCTCACGTGCGGCATCAGCAATGCCCTTGATAGGAGCGAGGACCATATGGTGATGGCGCACCGGAGAAGCCAGCTGAGCCACGAGGTAGAGGTAGACGACGACATCCAAGCAGACGGGTTCTGGGACAACAACTCCACGGAGCCTAAATCGGATGTGGAGGAAGTGGAGGCCTGAGGCTAGACTAGGCAAGATGGTGTTTAGGCTAGGACAATAGTCACCCTATTGTATGTGAAACTTTTAGGTAGTGCAAAATTTCCTATAGAAGGCTAGCCTTGCTTTAGCCTTGTTTAGGCTAGGACAATAGTCACCCTATTGTGTAACCATTGCATGTTTTCGCACATAAGTAGGGGGGTGGGGAATGGTATAATTCAAAGGAAAGGCGAAAGATATATGGTATTCAGTGTACTTTAACGGAGAAAATGATGCGTGCGTTGGTTCGGTCTGTATGCACGCTTGTGTGCAGGTACAAGGCAGAGCTGGATCTCTGAAATCTCCCAAATTACGTGGATCTAAAAGGTTTGAACTTAGTTTTGTTAAAGTAGATGGCCTAATCTAGTGGACTGGCTCATGTCTTCGCTCATACGGTGTACTTTTGACGAACATAGAGCAATCCTCGCTACCTCGTTCCATTGCACCCGTAACACTTGGTTATCAGAGCCACTTTCCTTTCGGACCG